CTGTTGTTTTTAGGAGCCAGCATTGCCCTCTCACACAACCAACTGGGTTTTCCAAAATTGTTAGCCAGATCTGGATAGCCAGCAGCTTTGTGGTTGTGAACAGTATTTACAAGCTTACAATATATTTAAATATATTAAATATAACAGACAATGAATGTCTGATCATGAACTGTTTGAATGTTTACTTTAATTTCTGGTGAAAATAAAGATAAAAATTGTTGAATATTTTTTTATTAATTTGATCCTAAGCTTTCAGCTCACACGAGCCATCTTCAGAGTGGTTATACAGACATGAAACAAAGATATCCAACATCAAAGATGATATTTTGTTATTTTGACATGGAAAATTGCTATGCAATGATAACAGAATATATATATATATATAAATAAATACATGGAGTGAATTCATTTATCTTGAGGTTGCTGAAATTATTTAGGAAATTTTTTTGCGGGGACTCCTGCATAATCTGTACAGACCTCCACATAAATATTAACTTTGGATTTCCTTCAGGGTCTTGAAATGTAGCCCCCATTTATGATAAGGGAAATATTGAACACACTGCAATAAAAGGAAAAAAAAAAAAAAGAACAAAGTGTGCATCCTTAATTGTTTATTTTAAGAAAAACCTCTGGATTAATTCAAATCTATGCAAAATTTGAAACATGATACCAAGACAACAGTTTAATTTTTGACTCAAGAAAAAAATAATTACAATTTATTGCCAAAATGTTTTGTGTTTAAAAAAAAAAAAAAAAAAAAAAAAAAATCTGAAATAAAATAACACAAAAATATTATAAAATAAATGAGTAACAGATATTTTTTTTTTATTATTATTATCATAAATAAAAATATCAAATTTAGATTCCCTTCTTCATAAAGTGAAAATGAATGCCTCTCAAAAAGAAAAGACTGCAACTTTATTTAATAAAAAAAAAAAAGGTGGAGGTGCTCACCAAAATAAAAAAAAGAATAACAATCGAAAATATTTTCACTTAAGAGAAGGAAATGATAATGGAAGAAAGTTAAATTTTATAAAAAATTGATCACCACACGTGTCCACCCTAAATAAAAAAAAAGTTATTTAGGTTTGTTTCATGGAATATAATAATCATTTTATAATTGGTTTTATCCCTTCTTGTATAGAATTTATCATCGGTATACTATAAATGATTAATCACATTTATATTTTGATTATATATCAGAATGAAGTAGAGTTTTTGAAATGCCACAGTCAGAAATCATTTTTTTTTTTTTTTTACAAAAATTTTTTTTTTTTTTTTTTACATATTGCTATAGAATAAGTATTCCAAATTATGAATATCAAGTTTTATAATTGGTCAGTGGGGGAGGTCCCTCTACTGAGTAAATTTCTTGTAAATTGATTTCCCCCAACCAATGGAAGCCAAAAACAAAATATGCTCACACCCCTTGTGCTCTTAAAATGTAAAAAAAAAAAAATAATATTTAAATTCATAATCTGAAGTGCTGAATTGATAGTAATATATGAAAAAGTTTTGAAAAATTAATTGTTGTTTTGCAGTTGTTTGAAAACAGGGCGGATGAACATTGGTTGAGGTGGGAGGAGGGGGGCTTCTGTAGTGGGAGATCAATTTACAAGGAAATTAGATCCTACTATTAATTTTTATTTTTGAAAAAAAAAAAAAAAAAAAATTTTCCTATTTTTGATCTGGAAGGTTTTAATCTATAGTAAAATGAAAAGAAAATTTAATAAAAAATGATTATTTCTAATGACTGATTATTCAAAATAGCACTGAGAATGCTTCTAATCTCTATTGGGAGTGATCCAAAAGTAACGCTTCTTAATTATTATGTTGGCCAGAGACATATCTTGAATGTATAGCAGTTAAGGTTGAACCTTTCTGCCAATAACCCATATTGTTTGTTTCTGTTCCAGATACCAGCAAAATATCAATTTGTCAAAATGGTGTTGGTATGAGTGTACATAAAACAAAAGGAAATCAACATTCCTAGGAGGTCAAAATGCAACAAAATCCATTGGTAATTTTCAGTTATATGACTGCCAGGGGTTTAAAAAAATTGACACCCAGCCACAGAAATCTTTAGTAAAAGGCGAAAGATTTATCTGCAATTCCTGACTACCAGAAACCAAAAGTTTTTTTTTTTTTTTTCCAAAAAATAGCAGCGATAAGGAAAATTAAACCAAATTGACTTTGACATCACTGGGTCAAAGGTCAGCCAACTAGCAATAAACATTTAGAACAAGTTGTAATAAAACTCACCACTCCCAGATAAGAGCAAAAAGTGAAAAAAAAAAAAAAAAAAGGGGTCAATATTAGTAGGGCTTGATATAACCTATGTTTGAACAATGGCTTGATGTGTTTTGTCTTGTTTTTAACACCCCGTGACCCAGGTGATGACAACAACACCGCATATCTTTCGTATTTCCCATTGCTGGACTATTTAGCCGTTCCTTTTCAATGATGTTCACACCAAATTAAGAAGAAATGGACGAAGTTTGAATGATATTATTTTGAAGTGAAAATAATTTTTTCATAAAAAAAACGGTGATTTTTCTCAGAAAATTGGGCATAATTTCTTAATGCTAACCACTGAGTGACATTTTCCACAGCCAAATCGAAGATTAATTGCCAGTGAATAATTCTATGTGCAAATAATAGCTGTCTGGATCCTATAACGTCACCTGAAAAGCTCCAGAAGTTTACTGATTGATCGAAAACTTATTGTGCATAATTCTGTTTTTCACTGTCAGTTTCCATTATTTCATTTTGATGATGTCATTTTCGGACAGCCAAGTCATCAAGGATTCAGGAAAACAGTTTGGCACACATTTGCTTTAAGAACTTTACATTCTATGAGGTGTTTAAAATCTTACTGACGAATGGGATTTTTCGCCAAATATTTCATTTTCACGCCATGTTGCATTTTCCTATATGACAAAAACAAGGCTTTAAAACAGCCATGATATGTGTGTGTGTGTGTGTGTGTGTGTGTGTGTGTATATATAAGGAAGTGATAAAAATTTCTCAGCCGGACACACTTCCCAAAACTTGAACAAATGTCTAAACAACAGATTTTTGATAGGTTAGAATCTCTTAGTTTTCTATACATATAGACAATATGGACATAGAAAAAAAACACTGCATGGTGACTGTCAGTTTATCAACTCAGTGCTATTCCTATGTCTACACTGTCATGTGTGTGTGTGTGTGTGTGTGTGTGTATATGTATTTCAAGATATTAATGGGTTTTAATCCAACATTATTTTTATTACTATAAACAATATTTTAGCAAATAGATGTGTTTAAGTGGAAATCGCCATTTTATTTTCATACAATGAAATTAATGTTGTTGAGGCTCATGCATAAATTAATTTCATCATTTGAAAAAGAGGAAAAAAAATGAAGATGTTCATTGAAACACATGTATCCACGAAAATAATATTTATAGTTTTATATATATATATATTATATATATAAGACAAAAATAAACTCCCAAAATGAGACAAAGATAAAGTGCTCAATAACAAAATACCAGAGCATTATATTTTATGCAGTAATGACTGACAGCACCTGATGCAATAGTGCATAAAAAAAACTGGCAGTTTTGGCCAGTTATATATAAGACAAAAGGCAAACTTTTCTTTATCAATGCATTTCGTCTTCTGATGGACTTTATCAAGGCAGATTTTATTTTACCACATGTATTTATAAAATGAAATAAAAATAAAAATATTATGTTCTCAAAATGTTTAAAATTAAGAAAGCTCATAAATATTCTTCAGGCTTTGAAAATTTTTAAACCTAATGAGATTTTTAATTCTGTTTGTAAATATACGTTGCAAAATAAAATCCTTATATTTGCTTTGATAAAGTCCATCAGAGGACAAAACACATCAGCGAAGAAAAGATTTCCTTTTTTTTTTTATTCATATTTTCTTTTTACAGATATATCTTCCTTTATATCTGAGAATATATATATATATATATATATATATATATATATATATATATATATATTGCATATTCAAATTGTCATGTATAAAACCTATGTTCATCATTTTATTAAGAATTTTTTAAAATACATTTTAAAACAATTTTTAGTGGCATAACTTTTAAAGAGCTGATAACCCTTAACCACTGAACAAACAAACAAAAAATAATTATATGGCTTAAAAATTAGTAAGAAAAATATATTTTTTAAGATTTGATTTTCAAAATCCAAATTCCTTTGTGCTGTATTGAAACATCTTTCATATTCTTTTGTATGACCACTTCTGTCCATTTTGTGATCAAGTGTGCAACTCGAAAATAATAAATTCATCTTTTGTTGACTGACATCTTAAGATAATAGATTGTCCAAATTAATGATTTTCCTTCTTGATACTTCTAACCCACTTCAAGATCATCTGGTCTGTGTTGGGATTTTTTTAGACACTAATATTTTAATCAGTAACCTCCTTTTTTTTCACTAAAAGTAATCTCCACATTTTATCAATTAACAACAAACTAGAAATGAGCTTCCATATTGAAATTAAACATATCTCACAATCCTTTATTTTTTAGGAAGTTAAATTTTTTCTAGACTTATTTTGTTAAACCATTCATTATAAAAATTTTATAAGCAAAAGAATTTTACTATATCTAATGGTATATAAGATCCACCTCCTCTCCCCAAAAAACAATTCTTGAAAAATACCTGCCAGGTTTTATGTATGAAACTGACACTAATGTTTACCCAGGTGGAGTGGACTATCAATATTTCTGCTTCTCCTGATTTACAGCAATAATCGTATAACAGAGAAGAGGAGACGGCTTGTCAAATATGACATGGATCTGATGATGATTAGTAATTTCAGATGCAAATAACTTATTTAAAATCTAAGAAAAATAGTTTGTTTCATCTTAAAGAAATTTCCTAATATATCTTTTTGTCTCTTCTTTGTTTGGCTCCAAAGATTTATATGTTCCCGAAAACACTATTTTTTTTTTCAAAAAAATCATTTCCCAGATAAATATTTATCCTTCAACACTCGGCGCAGAATCTTTCCAGCGGCACTTTTAGGGATTTCACTCACAAATTCCACACCTCCTCGAAGTTTTTTGTGGGGAGCAACTTTATCTGAAAATGAAGAAATAAAGAATGTTATGTTTGGAGAAAAAAAAATAGACAAAAAATAGTGATTGTATTTTATGACTTATCAACCCAAGATGATTTAAAGTCAGAAAAAATTTTTAGATTGTAAGAATTTTTTGAAGATAATGATTTTTACTGATACAAGTCCTATTAATTAATCCATAGCTGGGGGGGATAGGTGGATTTATACCTTTCCCAAGGGTACTTGCATGTAAGTGAATATAATGAACTTGACTGGAATTGAAACTTGGCTCTTTGATTTCCAATTCCAAACCATTATCCATTACACCAACTGCACATCCAAGCTTACAGTACCTGGGATTCCCAAGCAGTCACTCATTTAGTCTGACCAGGAAAGTGGTCATACAAGAACCAGAAGAAATATGGCTCTAAAGAATGTTTGTTTGACTAAAAAAAAAATAGACAAAAATAGTGATTGTTTTTTTTTGACTTATCAACCACAAGATGATTTAAAGTCAGAAAAAAATTTTAGATTTCATTGACATATTTTTTTTTTAAAGAAGATAATGATTTTTTTACTGAGTTTTACAGTCCTATTAATTTTAATCCAGGTCAGGGTGGCTGGGGGGATAGGTGGATTTAACACATTTCCCCATAAAACTTCTTGCTGTAAATACTGATTATGTAAGTGAATATAATGAACCTGACAATGGCTAATTGACTTAAAAATTTTTTGCCCTTTGGCTTTCTTTGATTTACCAATCTCACAAACCATTATCCATTAAATTACAAAAAAAAGAACTAAACAAATGAACACAAAACATCCTTTAAAAAAGGACTCGTAACTGGAAAAACTGAATACCTGGGACTTTTTCACACCCAATCCAGTTCTGCGGAATCAGTCGTTGACAAATGAGCCATTTAAAGTGCCATGCAGATTTAAATTTTTCCCTGACCAGGTTTGACATTACTTAAGCTGTTGGCTTTTAGTGGTCAATAGAACATAGAGCCAGCTATTGGCTCTTACTCTGGCCAGTACATTTGCAAAACATGAAAACTGCCATAGAAGCATGAAAAAATCGATTATTTCCACTATCAATGGGAAGAAACAAAAACACCATGTGCATGTAAATTTGAAGGGAACAATGACCTTTTATAGATAGAAATATTCCAAATTATATTTTTTAAAATCATTGTCATTGAATGATAATGGATTTGTGATCTAACAGTTAACTGCATGGCAAAAGGAAATTGTCCATTCTAAAAGTTTCTTCATCCACTATAAAAAGGTCCAAAAGGACAAGAATCTAAAACCATAGAAAAAAAAAAAAGAAAACAATTATAAAATTAGGATTGTGAAAAAATAGATTTAATGCAGAAAAGTGCTTGCAATAGAGAAATCACTTGCAAACTATTCTTATATTCTGATTCATAACTAATTTGTACTAGCTTAAATTTAGCTGATTAAATATTTTTTGGGTTCTTGTTCATTTTGTCCACAAAGTCTTCAATGTTTTTTATTCTTTGAAGGAATCTAACATTTCATCCTTTTGATTATAAAAATCATTATCTCAAAAAAGACTCAATCCCTTTTTTTTAAATAACCCCCCAAATCAACAAACAAACAGTCCCATTTTTTATTCATTTTGAAATCACCTCTATGTGCTGTATACCTTTTAGGGTGTTGGTGATCATCAAGCAGATTCCTTTACAGCTCTTAAATGTCTTTTTCAAATTTTTTAAACCTTATGCCATGAAAGATACAGGTTACTTGCACCAGCTGGATAAGCCCCTTTCTTCATTAAGTGTCCCAGAAATTTCAACTAAGAATAAGTGTCCATTTGGATTTCTTCATTTTATTTTCAGTCCATTCTATTTTTTATTTGAAATTTCTATTGCCTCAAATCTCTTCATCTTTTATTTTTCACCCACATTTGAGCAAGCATTGGGCTTTTCCTTTCTTCAGTTTTAATAATTTGGCCATTGCATTTTAACACCACAATATATGACCAGTAAAATTTCTCGAACTATTTATCATATAGAATCATCTTTGCTTCAAAAATTATATTTGTAAAAATGGAAAATCCTTGCCTTCTCTGATTCATAATTAATTTGTAGAGTTTATTTCTGGGTTCTTGTCATTTTGTCCACCTCCATTTTTATTCATACCTTTGTGTAGACTCACCCACCCCCATACACACACACCTTTTTTATTCATACCTCTGGTGTATAGAAGTCAAGCAGATTTTGACATCAAATTTTGGAGTCTTATTCCATGAAAGATACAGTACTTCACACCAGCTGGATAAGAGGAGGTAACTCTTTGTTTTAGGCAATTTTTATTTGAAAATCAAGTGGTTAATAATTTGTCACTCACTTTCAATATATTTGGCAATGTCATTCTCTTTCACATTTTTGTCTTTTTTGAGAACAACATATCCTCGTGGCACCTCTCCAGCTAATTCATCAGGAATTCCAATGACGGCACAGTCTTGTACATCAGAATGAGTAAGAATGACAGATTCCAACTCTGCTGGGGGCACCTGCCAGTAATGAAAACAATGAAAATTTATAATTAACTTTCCTTCCTTTTTAATGACATACAGATCAGATACAAAAGTCAAAGTTTATTCAGTTAATAAAATGTTTTATAAACAAAACAAAAATCAAGTGGTTGTTATAATCTTCAATGACAGAAATGAAAAATAGATTTTTATACAGGAAAGTGCTTGCAGCCAAAAGATCCTTAACAAGCTCATCTCATATTAGAGAGTGTACTGAGTACTCATTTAAAGTGGCCCTGGGCTAGAATAATTTTAGTGGAGTCAATATCCAGCTACCTGACATAGAGGAAAATGCTTAGCAAGCTAGTTTCATATTAGAGACTGTATTGGGTACTCCATTAAAATGACCGAAGGCTAAAAGTTTTGTGTTAATTCCTGGTCATCTACTGTAGAAAAATGCTTTGTAAGTTGGTCATTTTTTTAAAAAAAAAAAAAAAAAAAAAAAGAAAAAAAAGTCCTCTTATTTGATCCCTGGTTGGGACGACCTGTATGAAAACTCATAAAATTAATATAACCCAAAACAAGGGAATTAAAACTAATTACTTTTCATTGATGTGCAGGTGGTGCAGTTTGAAGCTGACAATGAGAAATAGAAATCAGAGTGCCAAGTTCAAATTTCAGTTAAGTTTATTACATTCACTATGTTCACCTTAAATTTGTAATTTTTGATGATGTTTTTCCATACTTATTACTTCCTTGCCAGTGTTGGCCAAGCTTATTTTATTACTAGCTTTACTTTATTTTATTGTAGCACATTAACTGCTAGCACCAACTGCACAAAATTGGAAATAAAGCCAAAGGTTACAAATAGAATTTCTATATTTCAAGAGCATATATTTCATATAGAAATATAATTTTGTGATAGAAAATCTTAAAATCTGAATCATGTAATTAAGATTTTCCTGATATTTTGAACTAAATTGCATTGTTAAGATTTTTAGAAATATTCCTTATTCTTATTTTTGACAAGTAGAAATTACTTCATATTTTATTCTTTGTTTTCACCTGATAGTAAAACACAGAATAGTACAGATTTGTTCAGAGATGTGTGTCTGGATCTTCATTGTTTCAGCCATTGTACTCACCAGCCTTCTTTTAAGTGTCTGTTGTTATTGTTGTTGTTGGTGGTAACCTTCCAGGAATTTCAAAGCAAACCTTTTATTTCATTCACAGGAGGGAATTGTTGTCATTCCACTGTCAATGCTTATATCAGTTAATTAGTCCTTCTGATGTCACTTATCTCTTCCGTACAAAACACGGTTCCAAAATTAAATAAGTGATTTCTGGAACCTGATTAGATATAACAAGTCATGTGATGTGCTCTCTATGACATCCATGCAGCTGAACTTCAAATGACCTGGAAACAGGTCAGATTTTGGGTTACTTAGTACATTACTGCGTGGAACTCACCAACTTGCCATAAACCATAAAAACTGAATTTATTTCCTTTATTCTGATTGACAAAAAGCATAAATTAAAAACATGATAAATTATGCTATTTTAGTGCACATGTACCAAAATACTTTTAAAATTTTAATAAACACTCATGGTACTAAACCATATAAGGTCTTGGATTTTGGTACATTCCCCCTCCTAGAACAAGTGAAATGAACTGACTGTATCAAAGGCCAAATAAAGGTAATAATGCATATATGGTGAGACTGAAAGATAATTCTCTACAATGAGCTTCTTCCAGAGAAGCAAATGATTGATTTAAACAAGTACTGTTCACAATTAAACAAACTAAAAAGGTACCATATTTTCTTGTACATAATATGAGAAATTTGGAATGAAAATTAAAATGGTAAAAACGGGGATTGTATTATACACGTTTTCAGAAATTTTTCTCAGCTTAAAAATGCCTATTATTTGAAACAGCAAGATTGCAAATCCACTCAGTTAGCCCAATAGATAATAAAGCACAAAGTAGGGCAGGGTTTGATAACAATTGTTTACAAGAATAAGAGTTGATGGGTTCACTTATCTAGTTCACACTCCTCCCTGGTCTTTTGTACAGGAGTAGAGGCTTATCCTTTGTTTTCTGTTTAAGATTGACTTTCCAGTCCCTTCTCATTCTCTTTCACTTCCAGTAACCTCTTTTGGCATTATTACTTTGCTTGGGGCGAATTGATCAAAAAATATTTGATATGTCAGAAATATTTGTTTTCTGGGAATCAGAGTAATTGAAGGTTTTTTTTTATGTCAAAGGCAGGAAATTCACTGAATTTGATCAAAAAAATTAACTAAGGGAATACACAAGAACTGCCATGTTTTGACAACATTAGTGTTTCAAGAAAGGCCTAACTATTGTATTTTTTTTAGTCTTTTCCACTTGAAATATGGGGTAATAATTCCTATGCTCTGAGGTGGTTGTTGTTTCATATTCCTCCATTTTTTGATACAAAGTATCCAGTTTAAAAACTTCAAACAATTCAAGAAAAATAAAACAATAAAACAGATATGTAAACAACACTGACACAATTATATCACTATATAAAAAGTGTACATTGGTATGTGTAATTTTAAATAAAAAAATATTACAATAATTTATGCAGATATGACCGAGATTTAAATTGATTAATATGGTGTAACTTTAAAAAAAAAAAATAAAAATAACATAGGGATGGTTGTACTGCAGGGTCATATTATACTCAAGGATTGTAATGTATTTTGTTTTTAGCTTCAGAAACACAGGGTTGTATTATACACAAGAAAATATGTCAGGAATCAATGAAAAATATTTGAAATCAAGAGAAATCACATAATATCAATGAGGATAACACTTGATTACATGTTTCTTGACCAGACCATAAGTATTATAACTTTGGTTGTTAGGTTTTCACTCATCCACTTTATTCAACAGCAGATATTTCAGTTTCCAATTATCACCAATTTTGATGTAACCAATAAAATTTGTTTGCAAATAAAAAATAACCTTTTGAAATTCTGGTAGCATTAAAATAAATTACTTAAAATAAATAAGAAAAATCATGCAGAAAATATATTTAAATCAGGAAACAAATTAAAATTAACTGGTTTACTTGTAAAAAAGAGGAATAATTCCTATAGTTTAACATTTATCAAATCTTCCACAAGCCACATTTGTCAGAATTTAAAAATAATTTTTTTTAAAATCAATTTAAAAGTGAAGTCCTGTTCATAATATAGTCACAAGGTGATCACTGACTTTTTAGAGAATTTTTGAATTTAGTTGTTATTTTCAAATATCAAATTTTAAACTCTGCTTACATCATTGATACCTGCATATTTTTTCATTTTCTGAATTTTTTAAATTCCTTTTTCTGAAGCATATTCACAAACATTAGGAAATAATATTTATTTATCTTAAATGAAGAACAGGTAGATATATACTTTAATTTATATACATTTATTTTCATTCTTTAATTAAAAATGTATATATCCATTTGTTCTTTAACAAAAAAAGAAAATTGTCCATTTTCGTCTACAGAACAACTAGGTTTCGATAACTCTGTAAAAAATCAGGGATGGATTTTACACTACCAATATTATGATAAAATGATAACAAATCAATATTTTTTTCAATTCTGTCAAATATCATTGCTTGAGAAAGGTCTAATGAAGGCTAATCTACAAAATTTATTTCCAAAAAGAATTTTCCCCATTACTTACAAGTGGACTAGTCCAGCTGACCCCAACCACTAGACCATTTGATACCAGGCTGCACAAAAAGAATAAAATCTTTTTTTTCTATTTTATTGATTAGCTCAGTCTAGTTTATTGTGTTTTGTTATGTGTATGATCAGCATCATCACCCCACCTTGAAAAAACTGTTTTGAATGACAACAGTCACAAAATGATTGGGGTCTACTGCACTAGTCTACTTAACTAGTGCCTCAATCAGATATTAATGAGAGAAAGAACTAATTAAAAATATTAATTAAAACCTATAAATGAATGATGCAATCAGAACCAGTAAGAATCGACTGCTGGTTTAACTGATCAAGGAAATCCATTCTATCTAAAATTCTTTGAATTCTCCGTCTAGCCTGCCTAACCAGGAGCTGACATGATTAATTGTTCCGTGGATAAAATATCAGTTGCTCAATTTAATAAAGATATCTTTATTTTGTACTATTCAGCCAGTTCTATATAGAATTATAGGAAGGCTCAAATTTTGTATTTTGGGCCATTTGTCAACATTAGGGGCATTTGATTTTCAAATAATGGAAGTATCTTAGTGTTATGGTGAAACACACCTATTCTATAGTTAGACTCTCCCACCTAATATAAGTAGGAGTAGTAATAGAAACAATGGTGGGTCGATGTCAGTCGATGTCAGACAACATTTAGTCAAATATAAAAATATCAGCGACCACAAGATTACTCTGCGTAATACCTATTATATCAAGTTCCTGGTGTTTTGTACGTTGAACCTATTTTAGGACCGATTTAGTACAAATACAAGCCTCCACTGCAAAATCACTCCACAACAACTTTTGGCGACGAGGGATTCCAACTCATATGGTAGAAGAAGAAAAAATTCGCTCGCCACAATAACTTTGGCGACAAAATCTCGGATTCAAAAAAAAAAAAAAAAAAAACTTGGCAAAGTTTTTCACAATCCAAGACGTCAACTTAGTGATGAAAAAATCTGTCGTATTCTCAACTGAGAAAAGAAATTTTTTTTTCTCCCAATAATACAGTTTGCTCAAAGAGGTCACGTATTGCAAATTCGTAGGACCCCCCCCCACACACACACACACACACTCTACAGTATTTACGCATTGTGTAAACTTTTTGCGAAGATGGAGGAATGCAAAAATACATTCCGGGAATTCTTGAAGTTCCAGTTGGAACAACAGATGACAATATTAGAGCAACAAAAACATTCCAGATGCAGCTACAGGAGGAAACTTTCAATAGACAAATGCAATTCCAACAAAAAAAAAAATGAACAGATGCATAGGGAGTTTCAAAACAAAATTCTGGAAATAACTGAGAAGAGGAAAGAGAAAAATCTACAAAATGATTCTTTCCCAGAGAATACAATATGGAATTCAATTGAAATATTCACGTACAGTCCAGATGAAGAGATAACTGTTGAGCAGTATTATAAAAAATATACGGACATGTATAACAAGGACTGCCACTCGTGGTCTGAAAGAAAGATGGTTAGGCTTCTTTTAAGCAAATTAGGAACTGCTGAACATAACAAATTGGTAAACTACATTTTACTGATAAAAACTAGCGAGTTGACATTTACCAAGGCGGTAAATATATTAAGTGAATTATTTAGTAAAAAGACATGTCTGTTTCACAAGAGGTGGAAATGTTTGAATCTGATGAAAGATGACGAACAAGACTATATAACGTACGCAGCCAATGTGAATAAGCATTGTGAAGAATTCAAGCTGGCAGAGTTAAGCGCAGACAATTTTAAGTGCTTGGTGTTTGTTCAGGGGCTGGTATTGGAAAGAGACGCAGAGTTGAGAAAATTAATACTGGCAAAATTGGAAATCAATCCAAGTATTACGGTGCAGAGGTTCGCAGAGGAAAGATTAAAAAAAGATAGAACTGTCTGGCGTTTCACATGTAAGGAAAATACACTACAAAGAAGAAAGTCAGTCTACAAAAAAGAATTCTAAAATTGCAGATTACCAAGCAAAAAGTGAAATACCAGAGAAAAATAAACAAAAACTGCCGAAGCCATGTTTTGCTTGTGGTGAACTACACTGGTACAGATATTGCGATTTTAGGAATAAAAAAATGTTTCAACTGTAAAAGAGTGGGTCATAAAAGCACGCATTGCAGGTCAAAAAATAAAGACAATAAAATAAGAAAATTAAAGTCCAACAAGGTAAAAGATGGAATAACCAGAAAATTTGTTACCGTCGAAATAAGTAATAAAAATATAAAAATGCAACTTGACACCGGCTCAGATCTATCTATCATAAATTTGAATACGTGGGAGAAGTTGGGGAAACCAACTTTAATGAAGACAAAGAAAATTGCAAGGTCAGTGACGGGAGAAAAAATACAATTTATTGGGGAATTTGTTACAAACGTCACATTAAATAAAAAACGCGAAAAGCTAAACTGTTTGTCATAGAAAATACCACGAACTTACTTGGTACGAATTGGATAACAGAATTCCAATTATGGGATCTACCGATAAATTACTGTTACAAGGTAGAAAGTTTAAACACCGAAGCCCAAAAATTAGTAAAGAAACTTAAGGAAACATTTCCTACTGTTTTTTCTCCAGGGTTGGGAACGTGTGCCAAGATGGAGGCAAAATTCCAGCTAAAAGAAAACGCTCAGGCGGTATTCAAAAAGGAAAGGAATGTGCTGTTTTCCTCAATTGAACAGATAGATAAAGAATTGGACAGATTAGAGAAAACCAGTGTACTTGAAAAAGTTGAGTATAGTGAATGGGCAACACCGACAGTATACGTGAAAAAAAAAACCCAAAATGTAAAGATGAAGCCAACACCGAGAAAAACTGAGGAGCGAGTTACCCGTAGCCAAGGACATGAAGTATTATTAAATGATTGAAGTCAACTGAAGTCACCACAGAAAACATTAAGAAGCACAAGATCAACAAAAGGGAAGCTAGAGGCTGAACAAATAGAACCACAAGAAGAACCTACAGAATAAATCATTCTGGGAGATTGGAAAAATAGGAAAGCGGATTGGCAATATGATGTACTTGATGAAAGGCAAAAAATTCACGTGAAGAAATTAATCAGATCAGACGACGCTCTTCAAATATGGTTGACAGCGGTCCCGCAGAAAAAACGCTGATGGAGGTGATTTTCCATACGTTTGATCTAACAACGCCTGCAATGATTTTACCTGAGGTATGCTGATCCAGGAGAAAAAGAAAGGCAACTGATCATTTAAAAGTGGATCCAAAACGTAGGAGATACGCTACGATGTTGCTAAAAAAAATGAAGTTTTTTTTTTGTTTTTTCTTCATATTTCCTGTAAAAAATAAATAAAGAAAACTGTTTATTCCTACAGAGTACAGTTTTAGGAGGAGGGTGTTATGGTGAAACACACCTATAGTTAATAGACTCTCCCACCTAATAGAAGTAGGAGTAGTAATAGAAACAACTGTGGGTCGATGTCAGTCGATGTCGGATGACAGTCGAATACAAAAGTATCAGCGACCACAACAAGATTACTCTGCATAATACCTATTATATCAAGTTCCTAACGTTTTGTACATCGAACCTATTTTAGGACTGATTTAGTACAAATACAAGCCTCCACTGCGAAATCACTCCACAACACTTACGAACTTGAAACAAAATAAAAGACAGCAACCATATATTAATGTCAAGATAAAGGAAAATTACCTATTTTATTTACTTCATGTGACCTCCATAAGAAAGACTTTGTTAAGAAAGACTATGAATGAATGAACATACAAATACTATTCACTATATTACAGCATTATATTGGTAATGGGATAATACTACTCAGCCTCTTAAATGTGCTAGCTATTCATATCTCCTTATAATAAACAAAAGTTATAGAACACTAACCAGTCATTGAATCTTTATGGATTGTGTTCAGAAATCAAAGATATTCCTTTTCATTTAAAGGAACAAGAGGTCAAATCTCACTAACATGGAGACACAATATACTAAACAATTTGTGAGCTGTTCAACCACTACTATCTATCACAAACATGGGAATAAATAGTTGTGGTCCTGCAGAAGTTCATATGTGTCTTTACAGAATACAAACACAAGCTAAGTAGGCATAGTGGAATAATGCATAGCAGCTCACAATTGAGGAATCGGAGAGCTAAGTCCAAATTTTAGTCGAGTTCATTACATTCACTTACATGCTAATACACTTGGGAAAGATAAGAATCCATCTCTTCTCCCCCCCCCCAGCTAAAAGTAAATTAGCAGAACAGACTGGGTCCTATAGCCATGGTTGGCAACCAGTCTAATATGAAAACTGAATTCTGACCAGCCTGGAGGGGGTTTGGGCTCCATTAGGCTAGCTTGCTCAAGAAACAATACACTTGATGCAACAGCTGCAGTATACACAGTGTCCCTACAACTCTAATGGGTTACAGGACCCATTGTCATTTGTCAACAAGTTTCACATTGAAATTCCAAATTTACCATTCCACTCCAACTCTTATACAATGCTAAACACAAAAGTGTAGTGTCTAACTTTTTGAATCAGCAGGAATAAAAGTACCTTGAATTTAATTGATTGATTTTGTTTCATGGTATATCAACTTCTATGAGTGATTTAATGTTGAAATCTAAATATTTCAGAACAATTTTATACCTTCAACTAAATATATTTTTAATGCAATTGTATGCCTTCAACAACAAATAAAATGTATTGCTAGTCATTTTTTTTATATAAAATATATTGTTGGTATTTTACTATAAGAATGAATTTTTTTTTTTTTTTTACTTTCATAGTGCTTTATTTTTGTTTGGAAGTTTACTATTTGCCCATAGCTGAGATCTAACAGGTGCTACCAGACTGGGTCAGGGAGATCCTGGGAACAACAGCAATTAAGAAGTGTTTCCAAGCTACACAAAAGCTTCAATCACTTGATCAGAGGCCTTGCTGCTGGATGTAGTTTATTATCATACCCAGGACTAAAAGTAGCTTGAAACTAAATAAAAGAACTCTTTAGGATTTAAAGGATTAAAATGTATGGCTGATAATTTACCTGGAAACCTTTATATTTGATGAGTTCCTTCAATCGTTCTGTGATGTAGAAGTAACCATTTTCATCATAATGGGCAATATCACCTGAAAAAAAAAAAAAATATATGCCTACACATACATGTAGAGAGATGTGTGTATGTTTGTATTGTATACACACTGTACATACAAGCCAATAACAAACATTTGCAAAAATGTAAATAGTATAAATGTTATATTCTGTGCTAATAGGAATATGAAATGGACAAACAAACATGGTGGATAAATAGTAACAGGTTTATTGTAAAAACCTGTACAACAAGCAAGGAAGTAATAGTTATGCACACGGTAGTCACAAGTCAGTACAGTTGTGTGCGTGGAAGGCCACCAGTTCTGCTAGATCCCGCTGTCCTAACAGATACTTATAGGTAGTTACCACCTATAGTGCCGCTACTCATGGGAGGGTGGCAGGTTATTTCATTACATTAATAAACAAACCAAATGTATCAGAATGTATCAAAAGTATTTTGTTAAGGATTCTTTTATTTATTTTTTTTTTCTGTTCAATATCATTTTCCTGGTGCATATTCAAATATAAATTGTTCAATGTCTTTTGTACTTTCAGCTCTCATAAATCATTGTCAGAGAGTTTTTATTTTTGCTGCTGTGTCAATTTCATTGTTTTTCAAATATTATATCTTTGTCATTAATGCCTGCCTCTGCGAATGAAAACAACATGGGCTTTATAGTCAGTCAAAGCCTCAGGAACGGCTGCTGTGAAAACCGCATAAAAATTTTATGATTAGTCAGAAAAGATGTATTTTGTATGGTATTCTGGAAGTGGGTGCATGGAGCAGGACAAAATTGAGGTCTGTTTTTGTCATATGAACCGTGGATGTCAAAATGAACACTTCCATTTGAGTTAAAGAATTGGAATTCCAACAAGGTACAACAAAATGACTGACCAGAAAGACTAGGCCAATCACTATAAGCTGAAGTTTCCCTCTGTGGGACTTCAACTTCATGAATTTAAATATAGTACTAGACTGGCAGTTATGTCTCATCAGTTTAATATGGAAATCGTTAAATGTAACTAAGTTCTATTCTAATAATTTCTTCTCTTGCACTTTTCACATATAGAACTTTCTTCCAGCTTCTTGCTTCCTGTTAAATACAATCTTCAAAAGTTTAAATGCAATGTCAATTACCATGTTTTCCTTGAATCATGTTCTTTTTATTGTCCTTTCTTCTCAGTAACACTTTCTCAGCTTCTTTTATTGTCTTTTATCCTCGGTAACCCATTCTGTTATTAAACATTATAACAGGAACAGAGTTATCTTCCCTCTACTTTACACTCCCACATTCTACCAGCTAATCAGAAGCCAGCTTTTGTTAGTGCCAAAAACACCAATCTTAAACTCTTCTCTTTTGCATCATGATGCCATTAAAGAAAGATGTGTTGAATGACTCTGGAGCCATCTCTTGCAGATGTAAAGTTAACATCATGAATCAAGCTATGCAGACTCTTCCTTTAAGATAAGTTTGGCTCCGCACGCACAACTAAAAGTTTGTGATCACCTCTTTTTCTTCTTGTATGGCATTTATAAATCTATTAATTACCCTAGTGTTTATTTTTTTCACCTGTTAAACTTCTACCATTTGTGGGAATCAATTCATTTGCACATGAAAATACAACTGCGTGTTAATGGCTTTATTGCCTTGCTTGGCATGAAATGATTAAGAAAAATATTAAAGAAAATAAAAATAAAAAAACCTTCTGAAATAGATTAGGTGTATTTATGTAAAAACAAATTCTTTTCCATTTAAAAATGTTTTAGTGTTTTAAAAATGAATTATTTTAAATGAAAATGATTGTACATTACTGATAATGTTGTGCCTCACCATATATATTATATACACACACACACGCTTTTGATTAGTATTTGACATGAATGGGCATGACATGTACTGCAACTTTTATCAATCAGCCCCCAACATGGTGAGTTATGTGGGAACATGCTTCAAACAATTACTTTGTTCTACTTTATAGACTTTGTTTATTTACCACTGGGATAATTCCTGTGATATCTAGAAATAGTACAAATGCAAGATCCTTTTTAATTTCATACGGCAAAATTCAGAATTGTCAATGAAATAAACATTAAATTTCTTAAAATTCGAAACAAAGAATGACAATCTTTAATTCATTTCTCTTTGAACCTTGGACAGAAAGCAATATTTTTTTTTAAATAAAATTTGTTTCTATACTGACCTGTGTGCAACCAACCATCTTTTATCATTTCAGCAGTAGCCTCTGGTTTGTTTAAGTAGCCCTTCATTACTTGCGGTCCTCGAATACACAACTCCCCTGATTCCATCGGTCCTAATATTTGACCAGTTTTTGTGTCAACTATCTATAGGAAAAAAAAAAAGAAAAGAAAAAGTAAAAGAAGGAGTCTTATAAATAAATAACAAATTTTTTAAAAAATATTTCTTTTATCACATAACAAAGTGATATTATTTATTAGGCTGCATGAAAAGTAACTTCTTGAGAGTTGTGAATGTTTCTTGAAGTTCATATAATACCATCTCCATATATAAAATCTTCCAATGATCCTATCTCTTCTGAAAGTTTTTGAATATGGTGGTCAGATATCTTGTATTTTAAAGTACCATAATCTGCGACCAAGAACCATTTATATTTCATGGTGTTATACTCTGCTTCCAATTGGATTTCCGATTCACTCCATAGCAAAACCTGTTGGTCAGATATGAATGCTACAAAAGCAAAATTAAAAACAAAATAGTCACTCTCTACACAGTGGCTCTGAGCACTGCATTCTGCTCACAAGACAAATCTGCAAAAATATACGATAAGCTCATTTATGTGACTCATTATGAAAATCATCCAATGGAGCTCACATTCATTTGCACCTGATTCATAGGCACTGATGATGAGTAAAGGTGTCTAAAAAAAGTGAAAATACTTTTGATACACCTTAATAATAATAATAATAATATTGTGGAGTCCTATATAGCCTACATGTAATGTGTTGGATTATCATCCTCTGATGATAATCACAGGTGGCAAGATATTGAATTACACATCCCCCTTGATGATAATCACAGGCAGTGTGAGATTTGAAAATTTTTTCCTCTTTCCTTTTTGACTTTAGCAGCGACAAGATGTTCCATTGCATCTTAGTGGCTTGCTGGGGGTAAAATGATTAAAAAGAAAAACAATTACTCTCCCTCATAGATATGTTAAAACAATAAGTCTGTAAACTCTTCTACATTTTTGATCCACTATGTAGAAAAAAGATTTTTAGTATTGTTCTTTACAACCACATTTCTGTTTCTTCTAGATTTTTCCTCATCCTCAGGAGAATTGTCTAACATTCATTGCCATACAAGAGGCTGGATATCACATAGCAATCCAGCACTCTTTTCTTTGTTTCTAATGAAATTTTTACATTTCTCAGCACCTTGCTTAGCTTTTAGAATGCCTCCTTCAATGCATGTTTAGATCTTGGTGTTGTATTTTCCATTCTCTATTAAAACATTTCTCAGATCAAATTAAAATTCAGTAGGGAATTTTTTTTTTTTTTTTTTTTTAAATAATTCACTCCAAGCAAGGCCATTAAGACTCAAAGGGCTAGTGGGAGTGAAAGAGTGTGAAGAGGCTTTAGGAGAAGGAACCAGAAACTCAATCCTAAACAGGAAACAAGGGATAAACCTCTACTCCTGTTCAAAAGACTAGGCAGGAGTGAGAACCAGATGATAGGTGAACCTATTTAATCCTATTACCTGATCAAGTACCATTTTACTGAGATCAAAGAAAAGAGGAGGAAGCCTACTTTCTAAAAAAAGCAAGTAAAGACTTACTTTACTCTCTGTATTTCCAATGAGAGTTCCAACTGAACTGTACTTTACTGGTGGTAAATCTAAAAGAACAACTGGACTTGTTTCTGTTAACCCATAACCTGGAAAGAAAGAGTAAAATCATATTATAATTCTGCTAGTTCATTAGTTATTTAGCATGTACATTACACAATGCCATTACCACAGATAAATAATGAACTACTCCATTGTAATTACAAGGAAAGACAGAAGAAAAAAAATATATCAGAGATGCTGTTTAGTTTTAGTGAAAAGAAAGAAAGAAAAGACAGAAGAGGCAATAATGCTTTAATACTTTTAACCTCTGTTTCAGTGAAATGGAAAATTTTGTCAATTTCAAATCTTTTCATTTCTACCCTCTTCTTTAAATAATGACCTGCATTCATATTTATGATTGTTATTGAAATATTTTGTTAAAGTTGTTAAGCTCAAATATTTAATGATGCAACAGTAGAATTTCAACAGGTATTTTATTGTTCTGGAATTCACAAAGAGCTTTTTCTATGTGCTGTGGTCCCTTCAGAACATTGCCAATTATGTCCTTTGTAGCTCTTAATAAATTTTGTAATCTCTCTTAAACCTTGCTCCACCGTCAATTACTCAAGCTTGCTAGATAGTTGTTGTTTCATTCTGCTCTTTTTTCTTTTAATCTGTCTTGTGAATATCAAATTTTCCAAGCCTCCTTTCTTCATTATGTGTCCTAGAAATTTCAACTCTTTCTGATTCTAAATGTAAATTCTTTTTTTTTTGCATTTTCTCTAAAACTTCATCTTTGCTCATATGTTTGGTCGATGGTATTATCAGCATCCTTTTGTAGAACTACATTACTGTTGCTTCAAGTCTCTCCTTAATCTGTGAGGAGATTATCCATCATTCACTGACATAGGAGGACTGATATTACCTAGCAGTTCAGTACTCTTTTCTTGGTTTCTAATGAATTCATTAAATAATGAAATGAAATCATTAACTTCAAATTATGATTCATCAGAAAAATCAAATAAGAAAACCATGAAATTTTCACTAGTAATGTAGTAAAAATATAGAAAAAATACCTGTTTGCAAGTTGAGTATTCTTAAATTATCCAATTGAAACCCTCTACACAATTTTCTATAATCTATTTATCAATTCCCATCTATTATAATCTCTATTTGCATATGGATTCAACAAGTACGTGGTGAGACAGGTAATCTTCAGAAAATCCTCTAGCTTGGGGATTAAAGTTTTGGTTTGTTAATTTAGTGACATGGTGACTGTGAATTCAATCCCTGGGCCGGGCAGTGTGTAGATGGACTCAATGGAAATGGGGCGAGTAATAATTGAGCAGTACTAAAAATAAGATATCCCTAGGCATGGTCAGTGGAGTGAGAACAATCTACTGCCATAGATTAAATAAAGAGTTCAGTTTAAATTTTGCTGAAGTTTACCCGAGATCAACAAGCACCAGAGGTTACAAGGGCCAGAATGTTGTATTAACAACAATAAAGATGAGGACAATGTGTAAATAATGTAAATAATGATAACTCTTCATTCCAGGAAGCGGACTATTTAAAGGACATCAACTTGAAGGTTACCAGATTGAACTACAAAAGTATAAAAAATGGCTACATTTCAACACCCAGAACTTGTAAATTTTGAATTGAGAGTTTTTTGGGTTTTTTTAAATCAGCCCCCAACATGGTGAGTTATGTGGGAACATGCTTCAAACAATTACTTTTTTTTAAATCATTGGCCAAAATTAGCCCAGTCTATTTTCAAAATTAGTGCCAAAAGTTGCAAGTATCAAAATTCAAAATTTAGTAGCACCAGGATGGTTTACTATAATGTGCATGATATGGTAGGTATCAGCCATGAAGGTTAGAACCGGTACATGTAAGGAATAGAGAACACTTTCCAAGGAAATAGCAATAACAGCTGCAAGAGGTTTGCAACATTTCTTCTGTCAGAAAGGTGTCATAGGGTAGAAAATAGTTCATCATCCACAAGGATGCAGATAAGCTCATTTTTCTTTCTTCTTTTCTCAGACACTAAAACTTTCTTTCTTTCTTTCTTTCTGTACATAGAACTTGTGTGGGTGTGGGGGTATACAGAAGCAGGGGTTTGTTCACGATTGTATGAAGGAATGGGAGATTTCAAATTATCCTGAGTGCAAAGAGGATAATAAAAATGGTCAGCTTTTGTTTTTGTAACACAAAAATAATTTATCCTGGAAAAAATCTCAGGCATGCAGTGCGTACACTGCAGATATGTACACTTCACCAGGTAAGAGGTCAAGATTTCAATCACAGCTGGTTTAGAGTGAAGACAAAATGATTTCTTCATACTATGACTGTGAGAAGATAAGTGTTCCCCTTCCATCTGAGCCATGTTATACAAAATTACTGGCTATACTGAGTTTTGAAAACTCTTCAAATTATTGTAAAAGTATCATTGATTATAAACCTAGTGATGATGTTTCAGACAATGTATTCACTACTTAAATTTCCTTGCTGCTTTAAAAAGAGAACTTGTCAATGAAATTGGCTGCTTATTACTTTGGCCCAATTAAGGAATCCATGCTGATTATCAGGAATTAAGAAATCCTTCTGTTGTACAAAAATTGCCTTCTAAGAGGAAACTGGACTAAAATAATAATTTTTATGAAACTCTTCAACAACAGGATTTACACTGCTTTTCATTTCCTTTTTTTGTTGACAAATTTTCACCACTTAACCATCCACAGACTTAAAGTATAAATTTTACATATGCCATCATTTTTGCTGTCATATGTACACAAGTATTGTGATAAAAAGCAAAAATAAGAAGATAGTATAAAACTAGTAGTAAATAAGATTTGTATTAAAGAATAACAATAAAAGACAAATTAAAACTCATGAGAAAATAATCAAGGTTTTGATAAAAAAGCCAGATTAATAAGACAGTAAAACTCAACTGAAAAAAAAAATAGTCAATTCTGTTTCTGTTTGAACAAATAATACTTTATATACTTAACATTTATCTAATGTCAAAAGAAACATTATCAACTTGAAAGATACTCAAGGTTTGTCTACCTGAAGTGGATGACATCTCCATAGATAGAGTACTTATCATTGTTGCCCAAACAACACATTCAAAAACACAAACTAATTCATTGCCAACACTTGATAAACAAGATCTAATGATATTTCTTATCAACAACCTATTTCAAATACATTTAACCTTGCATTTATTCCAACAAACCTGAACAAGTTTATTGAGATTAAAGGGGGTAGACAAATTCAGTAATTATTTATGCAACTCATAATATTATGGATCTATACCATGTCCCTTTAGGACGTAGGTTATCATGGCTCTCCAAAATTTCCTCTCTTTTGTAGCTTGAAGCAAAATGTCTGCTTCCTTACTATGCCCCCCTCCCAGTTACTCTGCTGCTATTCATTTGTAAAAGTTTGTTAAGTAGGTTATGAGCTGTTTTGCCTTTGATATATCCTGTGCATATCAAATTCTCTAAGTCCTCTTTCTTCATTATTTGCCCTAGAAATTTTGAATATCTCTTTCTGATTCTAAGTAAAAGTTTCATTTTTGTCTCCATTGTCCTTAAAACTTACTTGTTAGTCACGGTATTCTTCTGTAGAACCACATTTCTGTTGAATCAAGTATTTTTTCTTCTGCAAGGAAATTGTCTAGTATTCACTGCAATGTTGGGAGATTGATATTACATAGTATTTCAGCACTCTTCTCTTTGTTTCTGTTGAATTTTTCTTGCTTTTTTTTTTTTTAAATAATTTACTTAGTGCTTGGAAGGCATCTTTTGCTATTGCAATGTACCTTCAGATTTGTTGCATTTTCATCAGCTTTTAAAACACTTCACAGATATTTAAATTTATGTACTTGCTTGGTTTTTTTTTTTTTACATCTCCAGTTTGTAGATGGCATCTTTGTATATGAACATCTCTTGTGTATGAACATACCTGGTCTTTTTAGAATTGACAGTCCTTTCTTCTTGCTTTCCTTTACATTTTTTTCTCTTTTTTAAAATCAGTATCACCCCATGCAAGGCAATAAAGCCACTAAGACACAAGGAGTTACAGAATGTAGAAGAATTAGGAACAGAAATATCAACAATGAGTGGGAAGAGAAAAGAGTAATGAAGAAGACAGTAGATAGTGATCGATTGATATTGCATTTAAATTTTTGCAAATTAAAGTTGGTTGGAAAGCATGGAGCTGAAACTGAGTTCCACATGCAAGAAGTGTGAGAAAAATTGTTAGCATAGAACTTATGACTACATGTAGCCAGCTCAACTGTAAATGGATGAGATCTTGACGCAAGTCTAGTACTGCCCTTAAATTAAAAAAAAAGTTTACATACCATAGCAAAGAGCTCATCTGAACAATTACCATGAAAATATTTATAGAAAAGGCACAGGGAGGCAAAATTGTGGTGGTGAGAAAGTGACTGAACCTGAGCCACCAGATCAGGACCAATAATATTGTTGATTCTTCTTTGAATTTTATCAAAGAGCTCAAGGTAAATAGCAGGGGCACTGGACCATATGTGGCAGCAATATTCTAAGCTTGGATGAATGGTAGACTTACAGATATATAAGATGGATTCTGGAGAAAAAAAATTGTCTGGCATGACACAATGAACAAACTTTCTTAGCAGTTGACCTAGCATTGGATTCAATATAGTCTTTCCACTTAATATCAGCTGAGAACATTAGCCAGAGAAGGTCAAATGAATCACTCTCCTGAAGGTTAGTATCAGCCATGCTGATGGAAGGCAAAGAGGGGTCTCTCAAATGATTAATGCAGAGAAGTTTAGTTTTGGAGGTGTTGAATTAATGAGCCATCTTTTGCCCCAATTAACAACGGACTTGAGGTAATTTTGGCTGCCATTTTGAACTTGTCGGCCTGATCAGCCTTACTTCTATGTGTTGAGTCCTTCAGGTCATAAGCGATCATTGCTCTCTACAACTTTCTATCTCTTAGCTCTTTTCTCCTTCTGCTAAGGCCCCTACCCCTCTATCCATCCATCCATTCACATATCCTGATCAGGTAAGTGGCTTACAGCCTTCCTCTATCTCTCTTGCCTTCAATATGC